GCCATACATGGGTATACTTTGAAAAATTGGACAGCAAAAAAGCTGCTTGTGACTTGTGCGGAGTGACAGTTTTAACTGCTGGTAATACCACGAATTTGATGAAGGTTTGTATGAAGTTTGACCATGCACCTCTTATAATATTGGTGATTTTTACAATAGCATTTACAAAAGAAACACCCAAATGAACACCAAAAAGTTCTGGAAGAAGTTTCTGCTGAAAAGCTTGCTAAGAAAGCCAAGCAGCAACAGAGCTCAAGCAGTGAGAAGCAGTTGACAATTGAAGCCACCATAGAAAAGACACAAGGATATGGCAGTAAGTGTTTACTGTCAAAACATGACTCATAGTATCATTCTCATGTCTGATTGTCTTACCTATAGAAAACTCACTCCGGCGTAAGGCCATTGATGATGCCTTATGTAAGATGATCGCAACAGATCTTCAGCCTCTATCAATTGTTGAGGATGTAGGCTTCACGAGTTTCTTAAAAACAGTTGATCCTAAGTACACAGCACCCAGTCGTAAAACCATCACAACTGTTCTTCTACCTCGATTGTATAGTACTAAAAAGCAGCAATTACAAGAGGAACTTGATGGTGTTAAGTATTGCTGCCTCACCACTGACCTGTGGACGTCAAGAGCTACTGAGGGATACCTCACTTTGACATGCCACTTCATAGATGAAGCCATGGCTCTCAACTCCACTGTTTTGACTACATGTCATATTGATCAACCACATACTGCTGACAATATATCAGCAGAGCTGCAGAAGATCACCAATGCGTGGGGCCTCACAACAAAGGTACACTGTATCGTTACAGATAGTGGTTCCAATGTGAAGGCTGGAGTGCGGCTTTGTAAGTGGAACCACTTGGCATGCTTCGCTCACACATTAAACCTGATTGTGACCGCTGCTATCAAGAATGACCATGAGCTCAACGAAGTGGTACAAAAAGTGAAAAAGGTGGTGACTTACTTCCACAAAAGCACTAAAGCATCTGAAAATCTTAGTACAAACCAAACTCGCTTGAATCTCCCACCACACCGGTTAGTTCAACACGTAGAAACCCGGTGGAACTCAGTGTATTACATGCTTGATCGATACCTTGAGCAAGAAGAAGCAATTAAGACTACACTGTGTTTACTTGACCGCAATGAACTCATTATTCCATCCGAAAAGGCTACCTTGATCAAGAAAGCCATTTCTGTGTTGTCACCTTTTGAAGCAGTCACAACTGAGATGAGTTCCGAAAGTAATCCAACAGCATCTAAAATCATTCCAATAACAAAGGGATTACGACGGGTGACACTGTTACACACAGATAGTACCTTGGCTGATAATCTCAGAAAGGAAATGACAGACAGATTTCCTTTGGGGATGGAAGAGAACCATTTATTGGCACTTTCCACACTACTTGACCCTCGGTTTAAAGCGGTTGCTTTCAGCGACAGAAATGCTGTTGAAAAAGCCAAAAGAGAACTGCTTCAAGAAGCTGTAACCCAGTACCAGACTCCACAAACACCACAGGTAGAAGGACCCAGCAATGGTGCTGGTGGACAACAGGAGCAATGCATCGATGTTTGGCAATTCTTTGACGAGCAGGTTCATCACATTGCTAGTCACCAGACACCAACTAGCTCTGTATTGGTGGAACTGGAGCAGTACGTTAAGGCTCCAATACAGCCTAGACACGGTAACCCCCTACAGTGGTGGGGCGAAAACAGGCATAACTACCCTACTATTTTTAAGGTTGCAACCAAATACCTTTGCACTGTAGCAACATCTGTGCCAGCAGAGAGGCTCTTCAGTAAGGCTGGAGAACTAATTTCTCAGAGGCGAAGTAGATTGACAGCAGAAAATGTGGACATCATGATACTATTTTTAAACACCGTGTGTTAAACCATAGATATTACCTATACAACTGTTTAGGTTATTATAAAGATTGGTTTTTACAGGACAGGGTGTGGTTTAAGGCGTGGTCACAGTATCGTATCGAAATAATATCGATCCAATACAAAA